GTTATTTAAAACCTTGCTTCCACATGGAATTTTTTCACACACTGCAAATGGAAGGGCATTTGGGGTCTCAATTTTTGCCTCTGAATAAGTTAGAAGTCTCCCTTCAACTATACAATTGATATAACTAATGACATAGAATGATAGAAATCTATAAAATTCGTAATAATTTTTTATTTGATATTTTTTGTCCTCTACTTATTGGAAAATATTAATACCATCACCAAAAGTAACAATACTTCCATCAAAAAGCAGTTAAACAGATGGCACGAGCACATGGTTCTCTAGAGTATTTACGAAAACGTACCCTGGACTTTACCTTAATTGCCAAGAACTCCACTTTTCTTGTATAATTGTAAATTACTCTCATATTGCATCTTCAATCCTACCAATCAATATTTTTCGAAAGTGTAATTCTATAATTGGCTCACAATCAAATGGTGTGCAACTAAATCCATTGCTATTAGGAAAATTAAAATAAATTTCTTAAAATTTTGTACACAAATAATTCAAAAATGATGAATAGAATATAATTCCTCATTATATTTTATTTTTTTTTTCTCTTTTTTTTTTTTCCCTCAAAATGTGATAGATAGAGCAAAACAATACAAGTAAGACTTTGGATAAAGTCCATTTTGTTGTAAATTATTAATTTGTGTACATTACCTACATTATTAATTTGTGTGCACATTTCCCTCTTCTCATTTGTTCTCTTCCACTCTAGTACAATTCATGCTACATCATTTAATATTCATATGATATAATTTAAGAAAATGTTATGGTCCTGTTACCGTACCATCCCGCCAGGTGTTTTAGACGTTGGATTCACGTGTAGTTAGATAAGATAAATGATTAAACGGTTAAAACACCGACGAGATGGTAACGTAACGGGACCGTATCATTTCTCTGTAATTTATATTACCACACATTTTTTTTTTTTTTATATTAAAAGAGGGACATCAACACGCGGGATTTGTCTCCTCACCATGCATCACCCCATTTTGTGACTTGAATGAATGATGGACATTTTTTAAACCTTAGTGTTTGTAAATTTTCTTGATTCTCTAAATTATTACACACCATATCTTTATACTATATATTAAAATCTATACTTGTACATGTCCATATATAATAAGGCAAGCATATGCATTAAGGTGTGTACATTCCTTAAGAGGGAGCATTTTTATGGGGATTTGAAACACCAAAATTTCATGCATGGAAATTCATGAAATTAAACCGACTTATTTAATTAAGAAATAGATAGAGATTGAATTAAGTCTCTTTCTTGAAATCATATTTTTCAATTAAAATCATACTAAAGTGACATATATAAAAATATGTCACATTATAGTAAAAAATTGCATTTTTATTAGAAAAGTATGACGAATTAACCGTTAGACAATTAACCGTTAGACAATCAGGCCCCAACATGACACAAAAAATTGTGAGTACCTTCTCGTTTTACTTGTCTCAAGAAATTAATTTAGAGGTAAGAGATTAGAATCATATCTCAATTACACAATTTATTTGATCACATTTTAAGATAGTTCACACCTTCTAAAAAGATATAATTGAACTTAAAAGTAGCTTGAAATTGTCACAAGTTAAATTATCTCAATAGATCATGATGATGATAGTTCTACTTCTATGTATATTGGTTTTAATGAAAGCTGAACTATTTCAGTTAGACCTAAATATTTTAAAATGGATTATTAATTTGGATTAATTAGGTTCTTGTCCACAACACAATATACAAGTGATGTGATATAAATTGCCTAATTTTTTTTATGGGCATGCAATAAAATTAATCAATTTTAGCTCACTGCCCATAACATGATGATAATCTTGTGAGTTGTAAATTGTGACTTACACACAATAAGACAAGTGGATTTATTTATTAAATAATAATAATAATAATAATAATAATAATAATAATAATAATAATAATAATAATAATAATAATAATAATAATAAGGTTAGAAATGTAATAAAAACACAAGATAAGTGGCAATTTACAAAAGCCGAACCTTATATAAACAATTCATGTCACTTGTTCACCCCAACTCACATTTTCATACATTCCCATCACTAATTTTAGCTAAGCAAAAATTGACCTTTATACTATTTCACAACAATCCTCATGGCTATGGCTTTCAAGATGGTAAAACAAAATGTCTCCAAATAATTCCTTCTTCATTTTTTTCCCTATATATAATTTCACTAGTTAATTAACAAAGATTTTATTTCATATTAATTGCCACAAGATTCTACATATTACATACAATATATATTAATTGATTTCTTCTTTCAAATTTTTTATTTGTTTTACAAGATTTTGTTCGGTATTGACAGGCGTTGACAGGCATGTGGGTGACCGAGGAATGCAAGAACTCGTTCATGGAGATGAAATGGAAAAAAGTGCATCGATACATAGTTTTCAAGATCGACGAGGGGTCGGAGGCGCTGAGGGTCGACAAGGTGGGGGGCCCGGCCGAGGGTTACGATGACATGGCGGCGGCCCTGCCGGAGGACGACTGCCGCTACGCGGTTTTCGACTTCGATTTCGTAACAGTCGACAACTGCCGCAAGAGCAAGATGATCTTCATCGCATGGTTCGTACACTAGCTAGCTTCTTAGTCATAAGTCATAACCTTTCATGATAGAAACTCGATTGTTTATACGACACAAATTATCCGCTAATTATTGAATTTGCAGGGCTCCAACAGCTTCAAGAATTAGGGCAAAAATGCTCTATGCAACCTCAAAAGATGGACTAAGGAGAGCTTTAGACGGCATACACTATGAAGTTCAAGCGACTGACCCAACTGAGATGGGCTTTGACGTCATCAAGGATAGAGTCAAATAATTGACCTTGGCAAATTAATTAGTTCTAAATCATGTTTAATTTGGCATCTAATTAATCTCTTTTCTCATTTAGCTAGTAATTTAATAACACCACATGCGATAATGAGGTGAGTGCTTTTTCTTCTAGTTAATTAAAGTTGCTAATTACTATCACGTTTTTCCAATATATGGTGGTAATTTAACTACGGTTAGCTCTCTAGTTTGCAATAATATGCTCGACTTTGTGCTGTTATTATCAGCTTGTAATTGAACTACGGTTAGCTATCTAATTTGCAATAATAAACTCGATTTTCTACTGTTATGATACATCATTGTTTTTCTTAATGCACATTCTTGTTTTTTTTTTTTCTTTTCTTTTTAACTTTGGATTTTAGAATATTTTAGTAATTAAAACATTGGATGTAACTAAAATAAAGAGATGCATAAGTTGATTAAGAGTGTTCGAACCTAAATAAACACGAACTTGGAACGCTCAAATTCGATTCGTTCAATTTGATTAATTTGGGCATTTTTTTTTTTTGGTATTATGATGTTTCTATATAAAATTAACACTTAAAAACATATTATACTAATTAAATAATAAAATAAAAAAAGATCAAAAGCTCCCATTTGTGAACCATTTAAACTTGTACATAGCCTCACTGTTTTAATTATCAATATGGTTTTTTCAGAAAATTGGTATACTATATATGCTTTTTTAATTTTCTTTTTTCTATTTATTTTGCAAGTCAAAATACTTTTTTATTAACAAATTTGGAATTTATATGGTTTACACTTTACAAAATCAATTGTTAATACAAATCATGTTCGTTCACAAAGTATAACGAGTAAACCTGTCTAACAATTAAAATTGCGAGCGTAGAGCACTAAAAGCCCCTTTAGCTAATTACTGGGTGTGTAATATTAGCCCAAAAGCAAGAGTTATTGGGCCTAAAATACTAACCTAGAATTTGAATTTTATGTTATTTTTAGAGTTGCAAATGCTAAGTGGAACTTTAATCTACATGGCAACACTAGGTTCACTTCAAGTGAATAATAATAATAATTAGTGCACAATTAAACTTCCCACAAAAATATAAAGGGAAATTTTTATGTCTACTGCGTGAAAGTAAAAATATTATAATTATACCATTGATAATAAAATAATTGTAAATCTACCTAAACATAAAATCTTTACTGCATATAAACCC